AATCAACATCGTCTTTTAAACCTCCATAATTGTTATCCTATTTATGATGAGATTTGAATGTTTTTCCTTTTCACATCGTCTGACACTATGCCAGCTTATGAATGATGTAATAAACAGTCCAACACAGTAAAAAGATATGAAGAATTTACCAGAATCGAGGAGGGGAAGGACAAAATATTTCGCAAGCTCGAAAGCAATATTATTGGCAAGGTTGCCAGGCTCGCAAAATGATCGAGCAACTTTCTGTTTGATCTGCTTCGGGCTGTCGAGCAGATCCAAATGGAACTCCGGATCTGATGCGGACATTTTACGACCTGATATAGAGGGTAACACTGGGAGAAGAATTTGTGCTCTTGGCCGTTGCCCTCGATGTCGTGACACCTGAATGAATATAAAACAATGCAAGCAACGGATTTGTCTTCGGCGATTACGGAAAATTAAAAGAATAGTAAATGTAATTCTAGACAAGTTAAGAAGACAGACTAAAAGCCGGTAAAAAGAAAGGTAAGTGGAAAATAACGTTTATTCATCGTAAGTCTGGGAACTTCAAAAAAAGAGTAACTGCGATTCTACGGAAAGAAACCTTCTCAGCGAATTCGGCATACGGGCGCATATCTTCACCCAAGATGACAATATCGATATCCAGGTGATAGTGATCGATGGCGAAGTACAGTGGTGACAACAATGAAGCCAAATTAACTCCCTCAAGAAGGGCAGCCTCATCACGAGTCACTATCGAAGCCACTTGGTAAAGTTCCAAAGTATATTTTCTGCAAAGAATCCAAGTGTACTGCATAATACAAAAATTTCAGCTGTTAAAATGTGTTGACAATAAAAACGTAACAAAAAAATTAAAAAAATTGGAAAACTTACGGCTCCAATTGATAGCTTGAACTGCGAATAATTTTAATATCTTTTAAATTTAACAAGGCGAAAATCTGATGCAGCATCATGGTATAATAATCACAACGCGCCTCACGCACATTCCAGGCGCATTTTTCGTTGTCTAAAAAAGCGTCGACATCTGCCAAAATTATCGTCATTGAAACTCTTTTCAGCGACTGTAGCTTCTACAATAAACAAACTGTTATTTATATAAATAAGCCTGTTATTTATATAAATAAGGTAACCAATTAATCCAGGAATGAAAACTCAATTAAATAACCTTTAGTTTGAGAAGCGGAACAACGAAACCCAAATGAAATCGACCCTTTGGTGCTATAGAATAAACAATTTGTAAGGTTTTGTCTTTCTTTAATCCATCCTTTAACCAACTTTCGCCAATAATCAACTGCAAGGAAACAACCACTGAAGATACATCAGCACAAACCAACAATTCCACTTATTTTGAACTTAAAATATAGTTACAAATGCTTACTACTTACTGACCCTATCCTCCTTCACCATACAGTAAAAAGGCAAAAAAGTGACGCCACAACAGCATCCAGTATTTCACACTATTTCATACTGGCTTACTGGATGCTATCGTTTCATCTCTGCTGACAGTTAACCCATATTCGCCAACATTTCCATGTCCCTAATGCCGACCAAAGTTGTCTTCGCATCCCCCAGGTTACGATGTTTCCGGTCCTTTACCGTGTCCTACATACTCTGGAGATGCTGCGTGATGTTCAATTGATTTTCTGGAGATGGTTCATGAATTCGCCCCTCGACAGCAACCTACTGTTGTAGACACATATCGAGAGGTGGTATCCGCCCATCAGCTGGGATACTTAACTGTTTTTCGCCTTCTGATTGCCAATCTGCAACTACGAGATTGGGCATGAAGGCGCGCAAAATACTGGCTTATAATATTATTGTTATTATTTTATTAATAAAATTAATGTATGCAAATTGGTATAGACAAAAGCGGCACGGAAATGTTGGCGGAGACGGATTTATTGCCAACAGAGATGGTATCCTGTCAGTTCTACTCGTCATAAATCGGCGAAATCCTCTCGGGCTAGATTCTAATACAATCTTTAAAATCACGAAAGACTACAGTCACACCATGACCAATGATGACGACAGGCAGCGACAGCTTAAATCCATGTAATCGTTAAGTCTAAAAACGGGGTCAATATGGGAGATGTCAACGCAAAACTTGAGCAGAGGGAAAGATGGAAATATGGCACTGATAAGAGAAACGACGGTGAAGAGAATCTAGCCAAAATGACTGAGACATACAACCAGTTTGCTAGTAATACCTGGTTTTGAAAAGAGACAGGGCAAAAACAGATTCGGTTTGAGCAAAAT